TGGTTTCGTAAAGGGAGTCGGTAAAGGACTGTTGGGAGTACCTACCAAGGCTGCTATCGGGGCCTTTGATCTTGCCTCCAACATGGCCGAGGGTGTGCGCAACACAACCACCGTCTTCGACCAAGAAGGCCTCGATCGCGTGCGCCTCACGCGCTTCATTGGCACAGACGGCATCGTGCGCCCCTACTCTCAACGCGAAGCGCTCGGTCAGTTCTGGCTGAAGACACTTGATAACGGCAAGTACTTCAACGAAGACTACATTGCGCATCTTGAGCTGCAAAACAAGGAGATGCTCGTCATGCTCACGTACAACGGCCTTATGATGGTGCGCACGAAGAAGCTACAGACTGAATGGGATGTACCGCTCAAGGACGTGCAGACCATCAGCAAAGAGAGAACTGGCCTGGGTATCACGCTCAAGGGAGGCACGAATGGTCCTTTCATTCCGGTCAGTGATGAGGAGAGTAGAAATTGGTTCTACCGGCAAGTTGCTGTGGGTGTTAATGCTTATAATGACCGGTGGAACGCGAAGGGGTGATTGAGATGGGGAATCAGGGAGCAAATAGGGAGGTATAATGAGGTTTATGAGTACATGGCATAGCGTGGTTTTGGTATGAGTTTGCGGTTTCGATTGGACTCCTATAATGTATACTCTTTCTATCAATCCGACGGTTTTTTTCTTAGAGCAATCGAGCAACATGATCGTGCGTCATCCTCTTTATTGACATCAATGTGGCCGGGCTGGAGCGAGACTGGGCCGAATTATGATCGAACTGAGAACATGACGCGTGAAAGCCCCACCGCGCAACGGCACATTTTGTCTCATGGTGACAGCTCCTTCACGTTATTTACGGGTCGCGGCACCGTTGCGATCCACTACGAGACAAGGATCACGATTGCGATGCCGAAGCATGGCCGGCGATGATGAAAAGCATGCATGACGTCAGACTGGCGTCGCGCGTCAACCTGCGGGGGAAGCTTGTAGCTGGAAATCGCAAGTACCATCTAACCCTATCTTCTCTTGTCTTCTCTCCAATATACCCAGCTCGTGCTTTGTGTACATTACTGCACCCGCGTTGTCCACCTCCCTTGCTTTTCCCTATCCCATCTTACACACCCATCCGCTAATCTAATATGCTTCGCAACGGAGCGTCGCGCCTCGCGCTGAGGTCCGCAGCAGCGCCCCAGTCGGCACGCCCGGCTGCGAGCTTCACCCGCACAACACCTTCTTCTCTGCAATGGGCAACACAATTTGGTTCTCTGGCTGCGCGGAGACCGCAATTAGCAACAGCGGCTGCTGTTGCGCAATGGAAGCCTGCGTCTGCGGTCTTGCGCCGCAGCATGGCGGATAAGACGTTGACGGAAGGGCAGAAGCAGGCGGAGAGCAGATATGCGCACGAGAAGATTAAGCCTACGCCCGAGACGGTGACGAGTACTAGTTCGACGCATCCGATGTTTTCGGAGGTGGGCACCGAGCAGCCGCAGAATGAGGTGGATATGGCGGCGGGGTTGAAGCATGATGTGGTATGTGTACCAATTCCTCTAAACAATCTTGACGACGTCTTTTGGTTATGGATTCTAATAACGATCAGGGCACAATCAAAGAAACTTTCTCCCTCGCCGAAGTCCCACGCGAAGCATACTATATGGGTCTTGCGGGCACGCTTCCCTACCTCGCAACCTCCATCTCCACCGTGTACCTCTCGTGGGAACTGAACCACTCCACCGCGGGTTACGGCATGATTTTCTCACAGAAAGACGCTACATACCTCCTCTCCCTCATCGAGCCCCTTCAAATCGGATACGGCGCGTCCATCCTGAGTTTCCTCGGCGCTATCCACTGGGGACTCGAGTGGGCAGGCTACGGAGGCACACAAGGCTACAAGCGCTATGCGATCGGTGTTGTAGCACCCATGGTAGCGTGGTCAACACTGCTCATGCCCATTGAAGGCGCGCTCATCTCGCAGTTCTTGGGTTTCGTTGGGTTGTACTATGTTGATACTCGTATGTCCTTCTCCCTTCTCCCTTCTCCCTTCACCATCCACCCATCCTAATAAACTCTACTAACACAAAACACAGGCGTAAGCCGCCTCGGCTGGACACCCAACTGGTACGCCGTATACCGCTTCGTCCTCACCGCCATCGTCGGAGCCAGTATCGTCCTCACTCTCATCTCCCGCAGCGAGCTTCCGGAACATATCCCTGGTCCTGTTGACCGCGAGAAGGTTTTCAAGGAAGAGGGTTCCAGCGAGGAGAAGCTGGCTAAGCATGAGCATGCGGCTGTGGAGAAGAAGAAGAATGCTGCAAGGAGTGATGACAGGGGTGAGAAATAGACGTGTTTGTGAGCTCTTTTTTGTGGCGACGAGGCGTTCCTGGCGATGAGCCCTTGCTTTTCTTTTGGCTTGTGTAAATAGTTGAGCACCCTGCTTTGGCGTGTGATGTATTGAAACGAAATCATCCTGTTAATTGACTTCTCTGTTGGTCGCGTGAGTTGTGATTGCGATTGTTGGAGATGTTCTTGCGCCAGTCCAGCAGCGTTTCCTCAGCCTGGTCCCTACCTGCGCAAACCATGTGCATTTTGGTTTCGTGCAAGCATGAAAACAACATGCTACGAGCATTTCTCCTATGGAAACTCAGAATATATGCGACTGCAGAGCAAGAATGTGAAAGACAGCGCAGCCATGGTCGCGCCATTCGCGTACCAATGGCAACTGTGGCACCTCCGCCCTTGGCTCCGCAGTCCGCATCGCGCACATGCGCCGATCGTCATCGCTCCCACCTGTCCCCAACCCACCAACCCTCATTCACCACTCCAACAAACGACCACCTCGCCCGAGCCATGTTATGAACACCCCTAGTCGCAATCGCATCGGCCTCCTCTATCCTCTCAACCCAACGCGACAATGATCTCCTCGGGCTTCACCAACGCGCCCGTAACGCAATTCCTCGTCTTCGGCACCGTCATTGGCGCGCTGCTGGCTGCGATTACGGATTCGAGATTTTATCTGCATATTCAGGTTGTGCCGCATTTGTGGGGGTATGGGCAGTTTTGGAGGTGTGGGGTTTGGACGGTATGTCTGTTCTCGCTTCAGAGAGGAAGAGAAGAGAAGACGGATGAATTGGATGAGATGGAGGCAGGTAAAAGAGGGAAGATGCTAACATGAGATTACAGCTCAGTTTCACAAACTCAACCGAAGTCCTCTTCGCCGTCTTGACATTCTACCAACTCCGAGTCGTGGAAAGGATTTGGGGGAGTAGGAAGTTCGCTGTATGTATCCCCATCTCCCTCTTACCCATCTTCTCTACTTCAAGACCTTTTAAACTAACAAACCCACAGTCCTTCCTCCTCTCCACCCTCCCCTACACAACCCTCCTCCCACCCCTCATCCTAACCTTCATCCTCCGCCCCCTAACCCTCGGCCGCATGAACCACCTCCCCGCCGGCCCAACCCCCCTCCTCTTCGCCCTCCTCGCAAACTACTACGCCGCAATCCCGTCTACCTACCGCTACAAAATCTCTCCCTGGGCCGCCTCCACCCCCTCATCCCAACAATCCTTCTATCGGCGCTCCATAACGCTGACTTCGAAATCGCTGTCTTACCTGCCCCCCTTACAACTCGCGCTATCCCAGTTCCCGGGGAGCTTACTAGCGGCGGCGGTGGGGTGGGGGGTTGGAACGGCGTATAGGCGCGATGTGCTGCCCGGTGCGGCGAGGTGGAGGGTGCCCGGGTGGGTTGTGGGTGAGGAGAGGAAGGGTGGGTTTGAGGGGTTGAGGGCGAGGTTGGAGGATGAGAGGGAGAGGGAGGGGGGTGGGGCGGGGTTGGCGACGGGGATATTGGCGGAGGGGGCGGGGGAGGCGAGGCAGAGGAGGACACTGGGGGATGTGGTTGCTGAGCAGTTTAGGGGGAGGGGGTAGATTGGGGTTTTGAGATTTCACGGGGGTATCAGTCAATTTGGGGTTTGCTGTGTTTTGGATATGTTGGATCATGATTTACTTCATTTATATGTTATGGAAAGTGATCTGATGATGGGTGATGTTACGTCGATATCCTCGACTAGTGATACAGTATCCCCCTCTTCCGTCCTCCAGACAGACAGATAAAAGACGGATGTAGACGCGAAGCAAAGCCGCAATCTCAAACAAATCCCTCCCACGCTATTGAACAACCTCCTCGCGGAGTATACCGTCTTCCTTCATAAACGCCGTTATCGAAACTCACAAAACCTAGGCCGTACAATCATTAAAAACCCAGAAAAACTACCGTAAAGAAAACACCGAATCCCTCGACCCCTTACCCCCCCTCATCTTACTCATAAAATCCTCCGTACTCTCCTTCGCATTAAACAGCAGATCCTTCTCCGCAGCCACCACAGGATGACTATTCAGCGCACTCGAAGGCGTAGGCGTAGGTCTACGACTTCGATGCTGGCCCGTTGTACTACTACTCCTCGTCCGCTGGCTGTTAGGAGGAGCGACAACAGCAGGAGTAGGATTTGGCCCGGCGTCATAACCACGTGGCATCTGTATGCCCTGTGCTTGAATCTCCTGAGCCATGACTTGAGAGTGAGTTAAACGATCGAGACTGCGCCACCAATGGTCTTTGGCTCGATGGGGATCTAACGAGCTGGTTAGATCGAGGGTGGAGGTGTTGGAGGCGGGGGTGTAGGGGGTGTAGGAGGGGGGTGGGGTGGTGGAGTCCCACCCTGATGCCATGGAATGGCGGTTTGTTTGGGGGGTACGCGCGTCGATGGAGGAGGAGCGGTGGCGTGGTGAGGTGCGTTGGGGTGACTCGGTTGAACGCTCTGTGGTTCGGTGTCTGCTGCTGCTGCGTGGGGGCACGTGAGGGGAGGCCTCTCGGGTGGAGTGGTGGCGGCCTAGGGAATTGCCGGGGGTGTTGGTAGTGCTGGGGATGTAGCTTGAGGATGGGCGTTGGTCGGTTGATGCTCGGCTTGAGGGTTTACGGGGGCGGTATAGACCGCGAAGACCGTCAGGTTGGCGGTCAGGAGCCTGAGGGGCACAGGTTTGTGAGCGAGGTGGGGAGATTTCTGCTGCGTCCATCAAAGACAGTGGACGTGGCTGATCGATTTGGCGAACGTGCTCTCGGCGTCTGGAGGGAGTGGCAGATCTATCATCCGCTACGATGGAAGGAACCTGTTGCTGGAGGGTCGTAGGAACTGTGGGAACTTCTTCTGGCGTTGGAGAAAGAGACGCATCGCGTAGTGCCTTCAGGGATACTGCAGACATGCGCTCACTCAGATCACGAGCAGACCGTCGTCGCTCTTCTTTGAGATCAAGGAACTTCTTCGACCGTTCTGAAGGGGTAAACGACCTAATTGACGCGCTGCTTTGCTTGGCTTGCGGCGATTCAGGCTGGCTGTAATAATCCGAGTCGAAGTGAGAAGTAGAGGGCCGCGACTCGTCCACACTGAAGACGCGAAGTGGGAATTTGCCAGGGCTGTTGACAAGCGTGCTAGCGGGGGAATGGCTTTCTATAGCCATGACTCGCTGCTTGAGTTGCTTAACTTCTTCCGAAAGCAACTCCTTCTCTTCCTCCATCATGATGATGGTCTCGGCAGCTTCTTCGATGGCGAGCTCGTGATCTGTCCAGTGTGCCGCGCTCTCGCTTGCTATAGCAGTGAGCTCGATGTTGGTCTTCCGATGCTCCTCGTCGATTTCTCGCAGCTTCGTCATCTCTTCGTCCATCTTTTCCATTTTGAGTCTGAGTTGCTTGTTCTCCGCAGTCAGCTCATAGTTCTGGTCCTCTAGTGGTTCCAGTCGTTCCACTTGTTCTTTGGCGGCCGTCAAATTTTGCTGCAGCACCCGGTTATCCTTCTTCAGTAGCTCCACCCGCATGTTGGCAGTCATGAGCGTATCCTTCAATCTGTCGATCTCGTCTGTGAGTTCTCGACTCGTCCTGGACTGCGGTGGACGAGCATCGCTGGGCCGACGTCGTCGGATGGGCGAAACCGGGGTCATTTGTTCTTCCGTGAGGGCGAATTGATCAAAGATATCAGGCGAAGTCTTAGGCGTGCATATCTCCGGAGGCTTCTGTGCTGGTGGTGGGGGCACTTTGATATCCTGAGGTGAAGGAGTGGGCGTACCCTGTGCCCTCCGTGCTTGAAGCGCATGCCGTAGGTATTCTGATTTCGGCGCCAGGGAGTTCGATCGAGAAAGCGTAGGTCGGGTCTGGTCGGGGGTAGACGGCCTAAAGTCTATCCCACGCGAGGAACCATGTGAGGAAGAGGTATTCGACATGTTGGTGTGGAGTTCCGGTGAATAACTGCGACCGGCAGTATTATAGGTAGACTTGCAGTGTTCTCCAGCCAGCAGAAACAACCCTTTGTTCGCGAGAGAAAGGTGGTATCCGACAATGCGATTGTATAGTCCAAGTCCTGTGCGCGAACAGTGTATGCGCCTCCAGTTCTAGCAATCGTCACGCGACCAAGACGGGCGAGGTCGTGCAGTCGGCTGGATAGGTGTAGGGCGAGATATTACGTAGGGTATGCGAATCGAAGGTGAGGTTTGCGCCTATGCGAGGGTTGTTGATAGCAACGGCGCTTGAACGGTCGCGTCGCGTGCGAAGACAGGTGGATAGTCGCTCGAAAGCGGGTCGTTCTTGGGGTCCATTCGCGCTATGGCAGGGACAATGCTACCGTCGACGTATTGCGCAACTGTTGGCGTCCTGGGTTGTCGTGGTAAAAGAAAATGAGCGGTCAAAGTAGTCGAGTGCACGTTGCTGGGATCGCGTAGATGGCTTCGATCGTGACTTCACGGCAGGCGCATTCACTGGCCGAATTGAGTGAAGGAAGTGAAGAGGCGGTAGTATTAGAGAGACTTGTGCGCGTGAAGAGGACTCGAAAATGACGAATTGTCTCAGGGATGGCGAAGAGTCGCGTCGGGCAGCAACTCTCAGTGGATGGGGGAGGGAGGGCCAGAAGGGAAGACTTGACCGAGAAAGGGCAAGCTCATAGGGGCACGACGGGAGCCCTTGGCCGGCGCGACCCAGCACGGCGGATTGCACGTCGCGTCAACACTTCCTATTCGTGCTTTTGGGAAATGAGTGGGGATGAACCTGGTTGCGCCCCTTGCCTGACCGACTTGACGAGTGCGGTTCCTGGGATTCCTGCATGAGCGACGCATGTCGTCACAAGAAACATCACGAACGAGACATTGCGATTGCGGGGGATGTGATAATAGTCTCGAGGCGTCCTCTGCTTACCTATGATAGATTCAGCATCCACGAAAAGAAACACCACAGTGCGAGACCGCCTGCGAACCCGAGTGCGGCGCAGTGTGGCGCGCTCCCCGACCATCCATCCAGACTATGCCCAGTAGCGCTGCCTCCAACGCAGGTCAGTCCTGTCGTTCGTCGGTCGTCGCCGAGGTGATTTGTGATGAGGCACACGAACAATGTCCAGGTCTCCATGCTCTCCCAGCTTTCATCATTTACTTTCTTTTTTCTGCCAGATCTGCAACCGAGTTGACGTAGTCTACCACGATTCCAGCCCTCCATCCAAGATCTCCTCAGACCCGGCCTTGTCCCTGCTGTGTGGCCGTCAACCTGCATACTTCAGCTGTCAAGCTCAGGCCTCAACCTTCATGTTGCCCAAGCATTCGGGCTCCCCTCCGACAAGCGATCGCCCGGCATAATGTCGGCGCCAACACTGTCATTCCGGCATTTTTTTTTTGCTTGCTAGCTGCCTTCTTGGTGGTTTTGTCACGTCGCACGTAGACGGTGAATTGCTGAGTTAATTGCTTGGCCGAACCCTGTGCCCCGCTGCTCTGCATGTGGGGCGCAAGAGAGAAAGTTTATGTCTATCGTGAAATATTAAAGATATACAAATAGTGTGTGGCCTCTTGCATGTGGGGAGCGGGGGGACGATGATCATTCCATCTCCACTGCCATGCCAGCCTGTCGCAGTCGGTCCTCCCACTCGACGCGCAACCTCTCCATCTCCTCCCAGCACTTCTTCCCAGTGTCTGTGAAGCGCTCTTGGCTCTCCTTGGTCAGGTCTTTGGCGTACGGATCCCTCCCCTTCCTCTTGTACTCTCCCAGCTTGCCTCCCCATCCCCATCCTGCCACCTCAGTGCGATCTACACGCTCCTGACCCCAAACATCCGCCGCGCTTCCCCACTTTCCTACGCCTTCCTTTGCCTCCATATTGTCCAATGTGCTTTGACTTGCAAGCGCCAGCCAAACCATGGCAGTCGCGCCCTTGTCCACCGAGATGGTATGCCAATCGCTGCCGAGAAGGCGCGCTATGTAGAAGGCCGCAACCATGGCCCATTGGAGAATGAGGGGAAGGGGGACGATCGAAGTGGCGCAGATGCCTGGGTGTGTAACGTAGAGCCGAGGCTTCGTAGTCTTTTCCGTATCTTGGGCGTGCTCGAGGTACTGGTCGACCGGCTCCGTGGTTGAAGGTAATCTAGAGGTGATGGCCAGGACATCTGTCAGCCTCTTCGTGGCCTCGTATGGCATATGCGATGTGATGCCTTGCATGTCTTCTGTATCGAAGACGTGCTCGTAAGCCTCCAAGCTGCTGACCCAAATCATCCTGCCCCTTGTGCCCTCGTTCCTGGGATGTTTCGCCAGTAAGGGTGCGAGGTAGTGGCCCAGCAGATAGTGGCCAAACACATTGGCGCAGAAGACCTCGCCTAGAGGAGGCTCCTTTTCCGTCTTCTTGTCCGCAGGCATTTGTTCCTTTGCAAGCCATTCACGACCAGAGATCTTGTACGTCGGCCAGGTGGTAGCCTGCAACCACTTTGTGCAGACCGACCAGACGGCGCGCGGCCAGTCAATACCTGTCCACCCGCCTATGCCAGCATTGCAGATGACTGCATCGAGCTTCGGTGTCGTTTCCCGGAGTTTCTTGCTCAGCTTCTGTACCGAGACCAGACTCAGCAGGTCCAGTCGCTCCTGCCGGAAATACACGCGATTCTGCAGCACCTGTGCAATGCCTGGTAACTTCTGTTCATGGCTGCGAATGACCTTGCGCAGGTGTTGTTGTAGCGTCTCGATTGTCGCGTCGCCTTTCCGTTGGTCGCGTGTCGTGATGATGAGGACGAGGGATTCGTTCTGGGGGCGCGTCTGTAGGAATTCGTCGATCAGGCGGGTTCCGATACCCAGCCCCAGGCCGCTATACACGAGTCAATTAAGCATGTGCGAAACAAGAGTAGATGGTCCAACCTGTTTGCGCCCGTGACGAGAACATAGAAGCCATTGTCGGGTGTGGGAATGTCTTCGAGACGCGACATATTGGCTGACGTGATGGAAGGTGAGCGATGCCTGTTCCTGAATTCGCTACGGCAGAAGGCGCGCTTTGACCAATCACGACCTACATCAATCTTGAACACGACTTTTGGTTGGATCATTCACGTATGCATGTTTTGAGCCTCTAGAAAAAGATTTGTACGACTATTCAGCATGGAAGTATGGTTGCTATGTAGCAACTGCAAGTTTGGACAGAATGCAACGGTGAAGTGAAACGTGGATATCATAGGATGATAGCGCAATGATGGTGATCACTTGTGTGGATAGTCTAACATAGACTGATTCTATCGTGCTCTGGGTCCTAAGATCATCTCTGGTGCACATGGTAGTCTTCAATCGCCTTTCAATACACAGATAACAACCACACCAGACCACTGAAACCCAGTATGCTACTAAAGCAGTTTGAAGACCCGAGTAACAACAGCGTCTTTCTACGGAAAAGAACTCTGCCCCTCTAGTCTCCTCAAAAATTCTCTTCCATAGTTGTAGCAGTCAATAGTCGACCGGCTGATATCACCTTGAGCCACCGCCTGTGGCTCTCCAGCAAACAAAGTTTACGACTTTACACGGCGCCCCATCCCCCACATTGACCTCGTCACGAGACAAAACAATCAACCAAACGACCAAGTCCCACACGGCAGACGCAAATAACCCAACGCTTTTTTGCACTTGAGATAAACTTCTTCAAACTCTATTGCCAATGTGGATTCAACATTGCATTATCTCGCTTTCGTTCCTCGTCTCGATACCACACTCCTTGTAGTGTAGTAGCAGTAGCGCAGTTGATGCGCAAAGTCCAGTATGCCAGGATGTACCATGTGTAACACAAGGGATCCACGACATGGACTTACGCACATACGTAGGGTATGACAGACAGTCTGTGTCATACACCTATTCGGATATCTGAGAAACCGTCCGCTAATCATGAGTGTGACCCCAGACACGAGTCTGAGGAAGCCAAGACGGCGTGCGTATGCTTGGAGCAAGGGATGCATACGTAGACAAGACTGTTGTCGTCAGCTTTGTAAACCCCCCATGCTGCTGCCCCAGATCAACATATCCGGCAAGGATGTTTGCGCGTGCATCTCGGTAGGCTTGGCGGTTGCGCAGCAGGGTCCTGGCGGAATGTCGCGGATATGCATTACCTTGTAGGTGATTGTTCACATGAACCCAAACCCTGCAAGTCAGTCAGCCTTACCGCCATCAACGCCGCGCCCTGAGCGAAGCGACTATCGGTGAAAACGCCGAGATACGGCACAGACGTGATCACCCGCCGCCTCACAGCACGACAGTCTTTCGTACATATGCTTCCGCCGAGCGTCCGACCGACGCTTGAGATTCGTCCGTAGTTGGGTTGTCCTTGCTACGCCTACAGGGAGGGGATGTGGGGCCTGTTTGCGGTAAGACCACGCGGTTGACATCGTCAGGTTAGGTATGAACCTCATACATTGCTTTCTTTGCAGCGGCCCAACCCAGAACAGGGCTGACGAGATTGGTGATCACCAGCTCCAAAACGCGTATCAGTGTTACTGACAAATCATCCTATGCTGATCCCGTTTGTTCGAACTATTGGGGTAGGGACTGCGAGGTTATACAGAACATTGTGCGTTACCAACCGGATGGTGAAGCGGAGGTTGAAAGTATATGGCCGAGTAAGGGCCGCCGTCTCGACGCGCCAACGAGGCATATCGTCGGTTTATGCCGGTTATCAGATTGTGGAAGCAGAAGCGACGAGCCGGATTGGGGGTCAATGTAAGTGTTGCTGAACCCGAGCTAATCTTGACCAAATCTAGACCCTGAATATACTTTCCAAGGTTGTGTCTGTTCTGTATAGCGAGCTGTCTCCGCGCGCGCCCACGGGCGTGGAAACAATGCTAAACCTCCGAAAGGCGATCCACGACTAGCTCTGCAGTCGTTATGCACGTCATACCTGTAGCCTTTTAGCTGCGTCTCAGATCGTGCTAGTGAAAAAGGCCAGACTTTG